TTACAACATCCCAGAGAAGATAAGTGTGTTAGCACAAGTGCTGAGAACAAAAGCCCAGCTCAGGCTGGGGCTCCTGGGGCTCTGCCACACCCCAAAACCACTTCTCCCGTGTCCTCCCGTGGTGCTTACACAAGAGATTCCTTGGATTTCTTCTTCCTGGCTCTGTTTTTCGGGAGGAAAAAGTCGTTTGGGGTGAGTTAAACCCCTGAGGGCTGGTGCTTGTTCTGCTGCATCCCTCCTTTATCCTCGTGGACGTGATGGGAACATGGCCATCCCTCCCAAAAGGTTTGGGCACCACGTTTGAGGGGTTTGCAGCACATCCCTTCATCCCTCTCCAGCTCAGCAGAGCCACTGCTGCTCCCCTGCTCTGCAGATTTTAGGAACAGCTCATCCCTGGCCTTGACAAGTGGTCACTCACCTCCCCAAATTTTTGGCCACCACGATAAATGTGGCCATGGATCCATCTGTGCTTCACAGGAGACTCAATTTTCCTCCTGTGTTTGTAGCTCCCAGTTTGTGTGATCCACTGAATTTAATCCATGCCCAGCTGGCTTTTATTTATTCCTGATGTTCCTGGGGCTGCAATGTGCTGGAACTGAGGGTCTCAGGACCTGTCAGCAGGCAGGAGCACATCCAAGGTAAATTAATATAAAGAGGGATGTGTACATTTGTTTTTACAGTGCTGTAAAAGTGGAGTTATTAGGAAATCAGCCTCTAATTGCCCTCTTAATGAGTCTAACTCCTCTGCACTCATTCAGAGCCATCTCTATTGTATCAGGTATGAAAAGAGCAGCCTCATTGACATGGTTTATGACTTTATTAAAACCTGGGGTTTCATATAAATAACGAGCAGCTCCTCGGTTATAATTCCCCAGTGAAGGAAATGTGTGTGTTGGTGTGGGTCCAAGGCCATTTGTAAACACAAAGTATTAAAAGGCTCAACAATTCTCAAAAAGTTTTAATTGGAAACTCAACAAATTGCTTCGTGAGTTCTTAATGCTTCAATATGGAGCTCTCTGATAATGAGGAGCTAATTAAGGGGCCAGGATTCAGTTTTTTATGATAACTGTCTCCATATGGGCTCAGCACTCGGTGCTTGCAGGACTAATGAAGGTCAGGGAAGTAGCAGCAAAGGAAGAAAGGAGAATTTTTAGCTCTCGGAGTTGTGATGATGCTAAACAACAGCCAGGGTTTCTGCCTGGCTTCTAGGCCAGTGCTGAGTGATTTAATTCCTGGGACAGGCTGGGGGGCATTTCACTGCCCAAAGCTGCATTTCACTGCCCAAAGCTGCATTTCACTGCCCAAAATGGATTTTACAGCCCTGAGCTGCATTTCACTGCCCAAAGCTGCATTTCACAGCCCAGAGTTGGGCAGGATCCCCTGGGATGGGCCAAGAGCTCCCTTCATCCCAGGGCAGGAGTGCCCCAGCTGGAGGGCACTGCTCCCTCTGGCTCAGGGTGAAGGCAAAATTAAATCATGAAATGATTTGGATTGGGAAGAACCTTATAGATAATCTCATCCCACACCTCCCACTGTCCCAGGGTGTTCCAAGCCCTGTCCAACCTGGCCTTGGACACTTCCAGGGATCCCACAGATGCTCTGGGCATCCTGTGCCAGGGCTTCCCCACCTTCACAGGAAAAATTTCTCCCAAATATCTCACGTAAATCTCCCTTATTTCAGTTTAAGCCATTCCCCTCGTCTTGTCATTCATAAAAATTCCCATCCCATCAAATCTGTCCCAGCTGGGACTCGGCTGGTGGGGTTTGGTTCTGCAGATTCCCAAGCCCAGAACTTCCCAAGGAATACTTTGGCAAATATTAACAACACATAAACACACAGACACAGAACTATGGTCAGATGTTCCTCTGAAGCAGCTCACTGACTCCCAGCACTAAATTTGGACCAACAAGCCTCGTGCATCAAATAATTAAGTCATAGGCTATAGAAAGCAATCCTCTGGGACATTCTTGTCTTTGAGTGGCTCATCCACTTCCAATCTAATCCATACCATTAAGTGCACGGCCATATGGCATCCATTTATAGAATATTGCACTACAGGCAAATAGGACAAAGGTACACCCCTCAAAGCACTTCTCTCATCTCATTAACTTTGGGTACATGTTACACAGGAGCTGCTCTGGCTCTGGTGTGTTCAAGGACATTCTGTGCTCTGGAGCCTTTGTCTTAAATGAATTGCACTCGGAAAATTAGAATCTAAATGTAGCCGTGCCCTAAAGCAAACAGCATTATTTTGCCTTTCTGTAATTCGATTTATTTTTGCAGATCGATGTTTTGAAGCAGGTGTGTTCTTTTGTCCTCAGCTCCTGCCTGATGACCACGCAGGCTGTGGGGAATTTGGCAGGGGTGGTGTTGGTGGGGCAGGGTGCCTGGGTGAGCTGAGCAGGGTTCACTGGTGCCCTGCCATGTGCTGTGCTCTGCTTGAAACCTCTCCCCAAAACTTCACTTCAGCTGGGATAAACTCTGTCAACGCCTGCAGAGGTCTTGCTGGAAGATGTGAGGTCCCATTTCCTTCTGGTGTGAGGTTTGGGGTCCCATCTTTCTCTGTGTGAGGTTTGGGGTCCCATCTCTCCCTGGTGTGACGTTTGTGGTTCTCCCCTGTGAGAATTGGGGTCCTATTTCTCTCCCCTGTGAAAACTGGGGTCTCATCTCTCTCTCTGTGAGATTTGGGGTCCCATCTTTCTCTGTGTGAGGTTTGGGGCCCCATCTCTCTCTAGTCTGAGATTTGGGGTCCCATCTCTCCCTGGTGTGAGGTTTGGGGTCCCATCTCTCCCTGGTGTGAGATTTAGGGTCCCATCTCTCTCTGCTGTGAGATTTGGGGTCCCATCTCTCTCTGCTGTGAGATTTGGGGTCTCATCTCTCTCTCTGCTGTGGGATGTGAAGTCTCATGTCTATTTTAAGTCTTGGAGAGGACCCACGTCCTCATCAGAACATCTTCCAGGATGGAGGACACGAGGCCTGGCTGCTGGGACAATAAACCACACCAAAAACCAATCCAGCACGGGGTACAGCCAGGGTTCCCACGCCCTTTTCCACCCTGAGGCCCTGGAGGAGCTGGGCAGGAGCAGTTCCAGTGCAAAGCCCAGCCCTGGTGCCATCATCAGCCTCTGCCCCACGGATTGCAGCATCCCTGGATCAGCTCTAACCCCTACAATAACAGTGTGCTGCCCTACAGTGAGTTTGCACTGAAGACATACATTAATTAAATAGAAATGGCTGCAGGTGCCTTTCTGCTTTTTGGCTTAACAGATTTCTCCTGCACATCGAGGATCAATATTGCTGCCAATTACACCGTGGGGTCTCCAGCCCCCCTTTTTGAGCTTCTTGGAGGGAAAACCACTGCTAAATAACGAAGTTCTCCACAAACCTGGCAGTCCAGAGAGCTGGAATTACAGAGTGCAGCAGAGGAATGAGTCCTCAGAGAGCTGTCCCCATTCTGCATCCAGCCAAGGCTTCAGTGAGAGCAGCAGTGCTGACACAGGGCAGCCTCAGCCGTGTGGAACTGCCTGCAACATCTTCAGGGGGAGGATTGCTCGGTGCTTGTGGTTTAATCCAGCTCTGAGAAACCACACTAGACTGTTTTGTTGTTTTCCTTTTTCCCTCCTCCCGTTGAAGAGCCCAGCAGGGAGCTGCTGCAAAGGCTGAGAGGTTGAAATCCATTTGTGCAGCTTGCGGCAAACACCGATTGCTGATATTCAATTTCCTGACCTTGGTGATCCCTGCTCCTTCCCAGGGCCCTGAACCATCCATCTGCTGAGCCCAAAGGCTGAGCCTCATTGGGCCACTTGCCTGAAAAATTGGCATTCCTGGTGGTGCTAAATATGGCCAGTCTGTGGGGGAAAGAGGCAACAAAGCCCTAATTCCACCCCAGTGAGCCCTTTGCAGCTGGCACAGGGACCACGCTCCAGCTGCCCCCAAGATCCAGCTCAGGGGTTCCCTGGGTGGGTGGAAAAGGGGCTGTCCCTTCACCCAGAGCTGGCTGCAGTGGGAATTGCTAAATATTGTTCTTCTGGGAGTGCAGGGGAGAGATGGGACCTCCTCATCTCACCGTAGAGAGAGATGGGATCTCAAATAGGACAGAGAGAGAGAGATGGGACACCAAATATCACAGGGAGAGAGACACCTCAAATATCACAGACAGAAAGAGATGGGACCTCAAATATCACAGACAGAAAGAGATGGGACCTCAAATATCACAAAGAGAGAGATGGGACTCCACATCTCACTGCAGAGTGAGATGGAACCTCGAATATCACACCAGAGAGAGATGGAACCCCTAATCTCATACAGAGACAGATGAGACCTCAAATCTCACAGCAAAGAGAGATGAGACCCCAAATCTCACACCTGAGGGAAATGAGACCTCACATCTCACACCAGAGAGAGAGAGAGGAGCCCACATCTCACACCAGATATGGATGGGACCCCAAATCTCACAGCAGAGGGAGATGAGCACTCTGTACCCTGTGAGGGCCCTGCTTTGGCAGAACCAGGAGGGCTGATTGTGCTGGTGACAAGTCCCCAGCAGTGATGGTCACTCTTTAGAAAAAATAAAATAAAGGAGATTTTTACCTGCACAGGCCTGTAGCAAACTCAGGGTGGGGAGCACTCGAGGAACACAAGAAGGAGCAGGATCCAGTTGTCCTCAGGGATCCAAAGCAGGGTCTGCAGCTCCAAGAGAGGTGGCAGATGATGAGATTTCCTCCTGTTGTGGCACCAACACCAGACACTGTCAGTCCCTGAAGGGGTGCCCACAGCAGGAGCAGCCACAGCATTTTATCTCCTGCTCCAGATGAAAATGGGAAGGGAATGCCCACAGAGCAGAGAGCCAACCCTCCACCCTCCCAGCCCCAGCTACACATCAGGGAATATTCCCTGGAGGGAAACTCAGGATGGCTGCTCAACATTTACCCCCCAAAATTCCTGTTCTCCCTCCCCTGCACTCCCTCACTCACACAGAGAAAACAATGAACAAAGCAGGGAAGTCTCCTAATAGTTTTATTGTTCCTTAGATAACTGTGGATAGTACAAAGTTTTCCTCTTAAAAAAAAATTAATTACCTTCACACTTCCATAAACAAAGCTTCCCATGGGAATCTGCTGCCACAGAATCTCCAGGGAAGCGATTTCCAACCACCATAATGCTATGCAGATAGTATAACAGTAAGAGAATATTCCTGTAATTATCAACATGAACTTGGTTACCTGTGTATAAGGGTGAACACTGACCTTTTTTTATTTATTTTTTTTGCCTTTTTAGAAACGAAAAAACCATCATTTATTAAATCCAAACTACATCATTGCATTTACAACATTCATTGCATAAACTGGACATACAAAGTTTTGCCACCTCTGGTAAATAACAGACATACATTATACAATATAGTTGCTGAATACATAAGTTCAAACAATATGGGTACAACAACTTGTTCATAATACATACTTAAACCATCGTGTTTAATAAGTTACTAAAGACACAGATCCATGAGCTACTTCGGGTCTCAGCACAGTTAATCTAAGTGACAAGAACACAGTTGAGAGAGACAGTAGCTGCAATGGAAGGCAAAGAAAACTAACCTGTGCTAGGTCTTTGTTGAGACAGCCAGAGCTCCTCATGGCTCAGCTTTTCCAGCTTTTCCAGCTTTTCCAGCTTTTCCTGCTTTTCCTTTCCACACATCCATCACAGCTGCCCGTGACGCCGGGGTGAATGTCCATGCAACCCACACAGGGAGGAGAGCGAGGCTCCCGAGGGTGAACTTCCAACAGTCATTGCCTTTACTGCTTGAGGATGTTCTCTAGGTTTGCTATCGGAACAGAAACAAAACAAAACCCCAAACTGAAGTGGTTCTCTGAGTGCAGTTCCAGCTGCAAGTACACGGTTACTCGTGAGTCTATAACACAGGGCCAGACTTCTAGAAATGTAGAGGTAATGCTGATCTGTCAGGTTTACTCTGAATAATCCTCCATGACGTTGGTCTTCATTTTGGCAGCTGTTTATATGTTTACTTATTTAAAGTATGTTTCCTTATTTTTTTTAAATTAGTTTCTCCCTTTTTTTCCCCCCTTTTTATCATTTATATAATTTTTTTAAATTTTCACATTTATTTATTTATTTGTTTGTTTGTTTGTTTCCCCCCCCCCTCTAAACCCAAGTCTCCAACCGAAGCCGGGCTACAACTCGTCGGAGCGGATGACGTGGAAGAGGGTGACGTTGTACAGGATCTGGTGCCCGTTGTTCCAGGCGTAGAGAGCCCGATCCTTGGGGTTGTAGTCCAACATGGAGATGTGGGAATACTTATTCTGGAAGGGGATGTCGATGTACTCGTAGGTGGAGGCGTTGGTCTGGTAGGCATAGTGCACCTTGGTGCCTCCCGAGTAGCCGTTGGTGACGTAGAGCGTGCCGCAGATGATGAAGGCTTCGCCGGCGCTGCGTTTCGGGTAGCTGGTGTTCCAGGTCTGCAGGCTCTGCAGGGTGTTGGGGTCCAGCTTGCTGATGACGATGTTGCCAGCGTTCTGGTTGGTGGCATAGACTGCCCAGAGCCCGTTCTCGTCCACCATGAGGTCGATGTCCGAGTGGCCGCCCCAGGCGTAGTGGTACATGTTGTTGTAGCCGGCGTAGTCCAGGCTGCGCGTCTTGAGGATGGTCTCCGTCTTCAAGTCGAACCTGATGATGATGTGGCTTTGGTATTTGTTGAAGTAAATGGAGCCGTTGTAGACGACCTGGCCCGTGCCCGACCACGGGTGGGGGAGGCGGTGGGAGGTGAAGTTGTCGGTGTTCATGAAATCCGCCATGGATTTGTACTCGCGCACGAAGCGGTTGTTGTGGTAGCTGTCCATGTACCAAACCTGCGCCACACAAACACAGAGGGGTCAGGGCTGGCATCAGGAACCGGGCTGGGATAGAAATCCACACCCAGGGATCATGAATTCATCATAAAATGGTTTGGAATGGAGCTTAAAATTCTTGATCACCTCAAGGACTGACCTGGGAGCGAAATCCACACCCAGGGATCATGGAATCATCATTAAATGGTTTGGAATTAAGCTTAAAATTATTGATCATCTCAAGAACTGGGCTGGGACAGAACTCCACAGCCAGGGATCATGAATTCATCATAAAATGGTTTGGAATGGAGCTTAAAATTCTTGATCACCTCAAGAACTGATCTGGGAGTGAAATCCACACCCAGGGATCATGGAATCATCATTAAATGGTTTGGAATTGAGCTTAAAACACCTGATCACCTCAAGAACTAGGCTGGGAGAGAAATCCACAGCCAGGGATCATGAAATCATCATAAAATGGTTTGGAATGGAGTTAAGACTCATCCCTGCCAAGGACACCTTCCACCAGACCAGGCTGCTCCAAACCCCGTCCAATCTGGCCTTGAATCCAGCCTGCATCTGCCACCTCCATGCAGAAATAACCTCAATTTCGGGAGCCCCAAATCAGCCAAGAAATCCAGGGAACAGCAAAGCTTTCCCTGGGGGATAGGCTGCTATCTCCTTTGGTTTAAGTGCTCCCCAGGGAATGCTGGTGCCTGGCACCACCCTCCCTTCCCGAGGGCAATTAGCAGCTTTTCCCTGGCTAAACCCAGCTTTTTCTGTCGCTGCTGCTTTTGCTTCCCGCGGTAGCACTCAGTAAATTACAGCAGCTGCTGTGCACAACTCCATTAATTTGGAATGCGGGAGCGAGGGATGCAATCACTCATTGTCAGGCAAATTCAGGCACAAAGTCCATATTGGTTTAAAAATCATACTCTGCTGCATCAAAAGCTTAAAGCGAGGCTGCTGAAATATAAGAGGCAAAGACATCTAAATCTTGCTCTGGGTAGATTGGGGAGAGATTTCAGATCATCATTTAAGTGCCAGTTCACTGGGGACACTGTCTAGACTCCTTAAAAAAAAAAAAAGCTTTTGTTATATGAAACCAATTCCGAGGCAAATGACCAAGCTGTGCAGTTAATATCCACAAGAAATATCCAGCCAGCCACTGACATTCTGGATGCAGTTGCTGCCTGAAAATGAGAGAGCTGCTTTCTGTAAGAACCATTTAGGAAGGAGAAAAGGTAAATTTAGGAAGGAGAAAAAGTAAATTTAGGAAGGAGAAAAGGTAAATTTAGGAAGGAGAAAAGGTAAATTTAGGAAGGAGAAAAGGTAAATTTAGGAAGGAGAAAAGGTAAATTTAGCAAGAGGGAAGCCTTTAAGGCTGCAGATTTGGGTGATGTATTGCAGATTTCTTCTGCAAACCCCTTGCAAAATCTGACAGCTCTGTGTCTGGAGTGTGATCATCAGTCTCTGAGAAGGGCAGCCCAACATTTGGCTGCTGCCTTTGGGAAGTCAATTGGGGTTTCCAAAAACTTTGCAGGAATTTCAGCCTTGTGGCATTACCTCCCTGGAAACTCTGCAGAGGTGAGGAGTGACCGTGGGGCAAAGGGCTCTGACCAGTTGGGGAAATTATAGGGGAAAAAAATATCCAAACCATGACTCCCTCTTTGCTGCTCCCATTTCATTCTCTGCTATTAAAAATTCAACATGCAAATGAGTTGTGCTCAGTTTTTAAAGCCCTGCAGTGTCACCATGGAGGGGCTGCAGGACCCAACAGCATTCCAAACTCTGGAAAAGCAGAGATTGATGGATGGACAATGTCCCATCACAGCAGCTGGCTCTGAGCGACCTCCTGCTGTCCATGCACAGCAATCCCAGCTCCCACAGGACTCACAGACCTCCCCCAGCCGTGCCCCATGGTTTCATGACATGAACAAATGATCACACGGGCACCAAGCACCTCCTGGGGCTCGGGGACAGGGGCTGGGGATGATAAACTGCTCAACTCTGCCCATCCTCACTTTCCCACTCTGCTGAGCAGCCAGTGAACTTCACTTAATGGTGTGTTCCTAATAAAATTCCCAGCAGGTTTTATATATTAAATACACAGAGAGGCTTGGGAAGCTCCAGCTCCAGTTCGCAGCCTACTTGTACAACAAAAATACACTGCAGAAAAAGGCATGGCTAAAAAAATATCCAAAAAAATAGAGGTTTGAGACAAAACTCTCTGAAGACATGGGAGGATCTTTAGCATGTGAACCACCAGCTTCAGCTGAAAATTATCTTAGTGCCTAGGGAAGCAGCAAACACAGCCTGAAGGGGACAGTTCTGTCCTCTCTCTTGAGCAAAACGAGACGTGATGTGGATAAAACTTTCCCATCTCACCTCTAAGCAGGGTTTTATTTAGGCTGGAGGTGAAATTTTGCTTAATAACTGTAAAATACGGAGGTGTTGAATTGGGGAACCAGTGCCAACCACTTGGCTGCCGGAGGGAAAGAGCCCAAAACTCCAAGTCACCTTCAAAGGGGTGACTTCTCCAGAGCATCCCTTGTCCTCTCTTAGCTACAGAGCTGCTGCCAGGGCACAGATCCCAAAATAGGTGCCCTGATCCAGCCCTTGCTGGTGCCTTTATCCTTTGAAGGATGCTGCATGCAGGAGGGAATTACAGGCAGCCAAGCTTTGTGCTTTTCGTTTTGTTTTGCTGCCTGCAAATCCTCGGCAAACACTCGAGATATTTTCCATTCCATCAGTCATGGGGAGCCAGGATTGATTTTCAGCCAGTTATTGGCCTCCTACCTCCTTGGGATCAAAATTGAATGGTCTGAATGGAAAAAAAAAAAAAAAAGACCAAAACAAAGCAAAACAAATCTCTCTCTGGCTGCAGTCAGTTAATTCCTCACAGCAATGAAGGTGGAGGATGGAGGGCAAATGCAGGCAGATGAAATTATCAGAGGTGCTGGCAGCACAAGAGAAGCAGGGACCAGGACCACGGGTCCTTCCTGGCTGCCAACACAGATTAGAAACCCGATATTGCTGTTTTTTTTTTATTTTCCACACAGACTTTTTGGTGACAATTCTGAGCCTCATCACTGCATGAGTTTCACCTGCCCGGGAAAAGGACGAGGGCAGAGACTGCTCAGCTTCTCCTCATCCTCCATCCCTGGGGGATGCTCGGCCAGCAGAGCCCTGTGGGATGGATCAGGACATTCCCCAGGGCACAATCTGAGCTCTGATGAATATTCACAATCCTCAGCCACGCTGCTGGGACACAGGGATGGTGCTGTCACACTCTTACCTTGTTTTCTCCCTCAGGAGCCAGAGGATCCGTCATCCACGATCCGAAGCGGGACCCCGAGGTTTTAATTGTGATCGGGTCACTAATTCCCGTCAGCTTCCCACAGGCTGGAAAAGAGGGGAAGGCTGGTGAGCACCTCGAGTCCCACCCACTGCTCTGTGCCCACCGCTCTGCCCTGCTGAGGGTTGGTTTAATTACAGGCAATCAGGTCAGCAACGAGTGTCCGATGCTTTTGTTTGCTTCACACCTCTTAATGACAATTGTCCTCATCGCTGTCCCCAAGAAAAGGAGCTTTGCTGGGCTGAGAATGGCACAGAATTGAGAATGAGAGCAGCAGCCAGGTGGAGGAAGGAGCTGAAAGAGCTGCTCTGATCCAGCCAAGACAAAAAAAAAAGAAAAAAAAAGCAGCCGTGGCTATCCCAGCCCTGCTGGAAACGTGAGTTTGTTACAGGTTATGCAGAGGAGAAAAAAGAGGAAGGTGGAAAATGGCACACGGTATCAATCTGCTCCCTGCAAAGATCATTTCCCAGCTGCTTCCCCTGTCCCCCCCAGTGCTGCAGGCTCAGCACACACTGAAGGATCCTCCAGCTCCTCCAGCCAGCTCTGGCACTGGAAGCCAAATGCACAGGGATGAAGGTGGGAGCATCCCGAGCATCCCTCAGGAGCTGCCCCGGGAATCCTGCCCAGCTGAGCCTCCCCAGCACAGGGATGGGCAGGGACAGAGCCAGCTCTGGGGCACGCTCAGTGCTCCAAATCTGCTCGCTCAGGGAGCCAGGACAGAGCCCTGCTGGGTTTTCAAGCCCTAAACATGAAGGGAAGCAGCAGCACCTCTCCTCCAGCTCATTTCCCAGCCCTGGCTCTGTCCCAGCACCTCTCTGGCGCTGTCCCATGGATATGGGATAGTGCAGCCACATCCAAGTTCCTTTTCCCAACAATATCCCCGAGTTTCAGCAGAGCTGCCACCCTGGCTCCCTGCCTCACCAAGGTTTGGACAAGGTGCGTGCAGGGAGGAGGGATAGGGAGGAGATGAAGATGCTACAGGAGCGATTGGGGCTGGTGAGGATTGTCCTGTTGGGCAGGGAGAGCTCATTTAAGACCCAGCCACCTGCAGGGTGGAGGCAGAGGGGGACAGCCAGCACCTGAAGCTCAGGAGGTGTTTCCTGAGCTCTCTTTTTGGTGTGGGAGCCTCTGGGAGCCTGGGGCAGGGGGAAGGGGCAGTGCTGGGGTGGAGAGGCTGCTCTGGGTGCTGTGTTGGAGCTGCACTGCAGAACCTGCTCAGTGGTGCCCAGGTGGGAGCTCCTGCAGGTGCTGCTGGAGCACGGGGAGAGCTCTGGCAGCTCGGGACAAGGTCATCCTGCTCCAAATTACCAAGTAAAATCATTGGATGGTTTTGTTATTAGGGACCATTAAAGGTCGTTTAGTCCAGCCCCCTGCAATGAGCAGGGATGTCTTCAACCAGATCAGGTTGCTCCTGACCTTCATAGAATCACAGATTTTACACCCTGAGCATTTCCAGAACTCTGCAATCCCTCTCAGCTGCCTCTCTCCCTGGCCTGTTCTCACCTGCATTTTAATTCCTGATCAGACACATCCACCTGCCTCAGCTCTGAGCTGTGGCCAAAGGGATCCCCTTAGCCCAGGGCAGGAAACAGAGGGAGATATTCCTGATGTGCACCAGCAGGGCATGACCAAGGGCACCATCAGTGCCCCCACAGCCTCCAGACCCGGGCAGATAAAGAGATGCTCCCAAAAAGCAGAGCCACAAGGCACAGGAATTTGCCCTCCTGCCTGCTGCACTCCAAACCTCTCAGCTCTCAAAGCACTGGAAAAGAGATGCAATGAGTTAAAATAACAAATTTTAATGTCTTACAGGGGTCCAGCCTTCCCCTAATCCCAGATCTGCTCAGTGCTGCCTTCCATTATCACAGCTTTACATTGCTGTCACTTTATCTCTTCCTCCCATTTCCCTGGAGAGGAGCGTGGTATAAAAGCTCATTGATTAAAAAAAAAAAAACAAAAAAAACAGTTTAAAAAAATAGCAGCGGCAGCTGATAAGGGTAAACCAGTGTTGTTTGCAACGTCTCCTACACGTTTAGCTGGAGGCACACACAGCCCAGCTCCTCAGCAGTGCAGGAGGGTTGTTCTTTCTTACACAGTGTTCTCTCTCCTGCTCCAAACCCATCCCAGCTGCTGGGGGCAATTTAACACGGATTTTTAAGGTTTTTAAGTTAGATTTTCTGGTTTTGTCATGCAGGCACGGGCAGGAGATCCACAGCACATTTGGAATGTCAGCAGCTGAGCCTTTTGCAAACGCCCTCCCTGTTGGAGTATGGGATGCTATGGGAATTCCAGGGACAATGGTGCCACAGAAAAGCCCATCCTGCTGCTCACCCAGGAGTCCAGGACAGGGCAAAGCAGTGAGGAGCAGATTTTAGGGCCTCACAGAGGAGCTGCTTTCACTGCTCTTTGCCCAGTGCTGTTCAGGTCCTTTTTCCTGGGCACAAATCAGCCTCTTCCCCAATGTCCCTCCATCCCTGTGTCCTGCACCCTGCCACGAAATGCATCCCCACACAGCCCCTTCCTTCAGCTGCACCAGGAATTTTCCAGCACAAGTGGAACCCCGTGTTCCCCTCCCCTCCTCCCAGGATGCCAACACCTCCGCTCCAGATCCCGGATCCTGCCCACAGATCCTGCCTGGCAGCTCCCAGCAGCTCCTCCACCAACGCACAGGCACCAGCTCCTTCTGGGCTCTGTGCCTCTGCTGCCACAGCCGGGATCTTTCCCTGCTCCAGCTCCCAGGGAAGCCAAGGATTGAGCCCTGATCCCAGTCCAGAAAATCAAGGATTGATCCCTTGTCCCAACCCAGAAAATCAAGGATTGATCCCTTGTCCTAATCCAGAAAATCAA